GAAAGAAGCCCTTTTTGTTGCTCTTGATATTCTTGGCAAGTCTCAGCTCGTAATCAGCCTTAGCCTTGCAAAGAATATCAAGAGCAACAAAAAGGGCTTCTTTCAGCATGTAAATAGGAAAAGGAAGGGGAGACAAGTGGTGGGACCACTAAATAAGGAGGAAGGAGATCCAGTGACTGATATGAGGGAACAGGCACAGATGCTAAATGACTATTTTGCCTCTGTGTTCTCCCCAGAGCAGGACAGGGGATATCTGCATAGGAGATTAGATGAGGCTGGGGACTTAGGGGCACAGATTAGAGTCACCCCCCTTGAAGTTGAGGGGCTGCTCAGGGCATTGGACATTACAAAGGCCCCAGGCACTGACGGATTACACCCGAGAGTACTTAGAGAGTTGGCAGGGGTTCTCTCACACCCGGTGTCCTCCAATTTTGAGACCTCGTGGAGAACGGGTGAAGTTCCAGAGGACTGGAGGGTGGCATCAGTGGTCCCAATTTTCCGAAAGGGTAGTAGAAAGGACATGGGGAATTATAGACCGGTTAGCTTTACGTCCATTGTAGGAAAAACAATGGAAAGGCTCATAAGAGTGAGAGATCTAGTGATGCTAGATAGGGAAGGGAGGCTGACAGCCACACAACACGACTTCCGCAAAAACAGGTCCTGCCAGGCAAACCTTGTGGAATTCTATGACAAGGTTTCGAGATGGCTAGATGGAGGGGATGCAGTGGATGTGGTATACCTGGATTTCAGCAAGGCCTTTGACAAAGTGCCACATGATATCCTGGTGGAGAAACTGAGGAGTTTTGGGATACACCAAAGCACTGTCTGGTGGATTAGGGCATGGTTGACTGACCGAAAGCAGAAGGTAACCATTAGTGGGGAATCATCGGGATGGCGGCCAGTGACAAGCGGGGTCCCCCAGGGCTCTGTCCTGGGGCTGATCCTGTTTAATCTTTTCATTAAGGACATGGAAGAAGGGGTGAACAGTCTGCTGATCAAATTCACAGATGACACTAAAACTGGAGCAGTGGCCACCACTGAGGAGCAGGTACTCCAGATCCAAAAGGATTTGGACAGACTATGGAAGTGGGCAGGAGACAACAGGATGGCGTTCAATGTGGATAAGTGCAAGGTCTTGCACATGGGGCATAGGAATAGCTGTCATAAGTACAGGTTAGGTGACAAGTGGCTGGAGAGCAGCACTTGTGAAAGGGACCT